GCTGGCCTCGTCTCCTTAGGGATGGGGGGGCTTTGGGGGTGGTTAGCTCTCCTCTTGCCAGGGGCTTTGGGGGGGCCCCTAAGGGGGTGAGGGGGGTCTGGCGAGGAGCTGTGTTTGTCTGCCCAGATAATCTGAGGGTCCCCAGCGAGGGCGCCTGCTCTGCCCTCCCCACGCTGGGGGCTTTGGGGAGCCCTCACTGGGGGGTCTGGGCCAGGTCCCTCCCACTGGGAGCCCTTGGGGGGTCCAGTGTCCCCTCTCTGGGGGCTTTGGGGAGCCCTTGTGAGAGGGCTGGGCCAGCCTCTCATCCCCAGGGACCCCTTTATGCTAAGAGGGGTGAGGACTGTCTTCATGGTGCTATTGAGGGGTTATGGGTACCTCTTTTTAACAGGGGGTTCTGGGCCAGCATCTTCCCCCCTGAGGGGCTTGGGGGCCCCTTTGAGGGTGGAGGGACGCAGTCTTCATCTCTTGAAGGCGAGGCAACTGTTTTTTAGGGGGTTCTTTAGAGGATCCCCTTCTTTGTAGGGTGTGTGGAGGGGTTGAGGGTTGCAGCTCCAGGAGGGAGCCCCTCTGGGAGCGGGAGCCCCTCCCATGGAGGGTGATTCTGGGGTCCCCTTCACCAGCTCATCCCTGGGGGGAGATTCTCCCCCTGCCTTTTTTCTGGGGACGTCCCTTGGAGTGCAGAGCAAGAAGGGCTCATAGGCAGCAGAAACATCTGTAGGAGCCACGTCTGTGGATCTGCCTCCCCTCAGGGACCCCGGCCGGGAAGGGGCTGGTGGAAGGGGGTGGCTGCGGTGGGGAATTTGCTTGGAGAGGCACGGAGCTCCTAGAGAAAAGCTGTTCCCTGGAGAGATCCCTGGTAAGGAAGGGAAGTAGGTTAGGAGATGAGAAAGGAGGTGGCTGGAAGGAAGGGGGAGCTCACCCTGAGAAATTCTGCGGGGGGAGAGCAGGGGGAAGGGCCCGTGGCTGGCAGAAAGTGGTACTGGGCTCATGGGTGCCCTCGCAGATCGCAGGCGTGGGCTGGGATGAGGTGTGCGAGGGTGCAAACCCTCCTCGGTCTTCAATGCAGAGACCCTCCTGGGGAGGGCAGGGGGACACTGGTGGAGGGAGGAGGAGATCTGGCATGGTAGGATTGCTGCCACAGGGATCGCTGGGCAAGGAGGGGACAAACCCCGCCCCCCCTTTGGGATGAGACAGGGGTCTCGCTGGAGCTGGTGGCCTGCCTTCCCGCTCCGCAGAAGGCAGCGGGGATGGAAACGCACGCTCAGGGTGGGACCGGCTGCTTGGGTTTTCCTCCGCTCCGTCACTGGGACCTTGGCTTGTCCAAGGCTGTTTCTTGACAGCCAGAGTTGTAACGTGAGCCTGAAAACATCTTTCCATGGGAATGCTTCAGCTGTGTTGAAACCGATCTATTCCCCCACCCCCCCCAAAAAATCCCCCTTAAACTCTGAGCCCGTGGTTGTGGGCTGACATCAGTTAAATCCCTTTCAGGGCTTTCTGTAGCCTCAGCCTGTCGAGGTGTATTTTTCTTAGCGTGTTCCTCTTCATCTTGTGGTTCTTGGGACTGGTTCTGCCCGTGCTGAGCTGTGCGATGCCTCCTGATCCTTACGTATTTGTGCTCTGTGCCGAGTTGGTTAAGTTCAATTACTTATTAA